AGGGTGTTCCTGGCAATGTGTTGATGTGAGAACATTTTTCACTCATTTTTCCCTTTTATTTACATATTTATTTCAAAATGTTTGTTGTTCAAATCTTGTCATTTTTAATTGGGGTAAAATACATACAACATAAAAGTTAGCATCTTAACCATTGTTAAGGGTACGATTCAGTAGTGTTAAGTATATTTACATTGTGCAACAAATCTCCAGAACTTTTTCATTTTGCAAAACTGAAACTCTACCCAATAAACAACAACTCCCATTTCCCTCTTTCCCCAACCCCTGTGAGGCTACCATTCCACTTTCTGTTTCTATGGCTTTGACTACTCTAGGCATCTCACATTCTCATATAAGTGGAATCATACAGTATTTGTCTTTTTGTGACAGGCTTATTTCACTTAGCATAATGCCCTCAAGGTTCATTCATGCTATAGCATGTGACAGGAGTTTCTTCCTTTCTAAGTTTGAATAATAACTATTGCATGTATATGCCACATTTTCTTTATCCACTCAGCCATCCATGGACATCTGAGTTGTTATCACCTTTTGGCCATTGTGAATAATGCTTTTATGAACATGATGTGTACAAATATCTCTTCAAGATTCTGCTTTCATTTCTTTTGGATATATACCCAGAAGTGGGACTGCTAAATCATATGGTAATTCTATTTTTAACTTTTTGAGGAACTGTCATGTCATACTGTTTTTCACAGTGGCTGTACCATTTTACATTCCCACTAACAGTGCACCAAGGTTTCAATTTCTCTACATCCTCACCAATACTTGTTATTTGTTTGTTTTATTGACAGTAGCCATCCTAATGGGTGTGAGATAATTTCTTATCGTGGTTTTGATTTGCATTTCCCTAACAATTACTGATGTTAAGTATCTTCAGTTGCTCGTTGGATTTTTCTATATGTTCTTTGGAGAAATGTCTATTCAAGTCCTATGCCCATTTAAATCAGTTTACTTGGGGCTTAAGCATTCTATTTGCAGTCAGGGAATCAAGTCCTTGCCTTCTCTTATTTTTAATATTCTCTAACCTCGAGGCCCCAAGATATTCTCCTGTTTAGAAGTATTAAGGATACAGAAAATTTTGCTCTCAAGAAATCTTGAAGTTGGAACATAGTTGGAAAGGCACCATTTTATAAACCTCAGATATCCATTGCTATTGGCTGTTCAGAACTTTTGGAGAAGTTGTGCTACGTATGGTCTTCCATAAAGATATTATTGTTATTATTGTTCTCATTCATTTCAGTTCAACAACATTTACAGAGTGCCTACTATATAGTAGGCATTGCACCATGGATACATTAGAGTTAATACAAAACAAACACAAAAATTTTTAACTCCTTTTATCCAACACCCACCAGCTAGACTCTGGGTCACTATTAAACAGCTGACTCTTAAACAGCATAGGGTTAAGGGAGCTGACTTCCACACAGTGAAAAATCTGCACATAACTTTTGACTCTCCCCAGACTTAATTACAGTCCCTTGGTATCCGCAAGAAGGGATTGGTTCCAGGACCCCAGTGGATACCAAAATTGACAGATGCTCAAGTCCCTTATAGAAAATGCTGTAGAGTAATGCATACAGTCAGCCCTCCCCATCACAGATTCCCAACCGCAGATCAAAAATACTGTTTTTGATCCCTGGTTGGTTGAATCCTCAGATGCAAAACCTGGAGATTCAGGGGACCAAATGTACATTTATTGAAAAAAATCCAAGTATAAGTGGACCCATGCCGTTCAAACCTGTGTTGTTCAAAGGTCAACTGTATACATTTTTGAATGAGTAGTATAAAAATCTCTTCTGATCTCTTCTGCCAGATGGTCCCTCTGTGAATGAGGAAGTATACATCCTTAAGTAAGCCTGATCTTTGGGTTGGGCCTCTCAATTTTCCTGGGCCCCACCCCACCCCGCCCCTGTGAAAAACACACCCTATCTTAAAATCTAGTTTCTTTAAAATTCTTGATAAAGCTTTGGAAAGACTCCCTACACATAACTATCATTTCTGCTTCTAAAAAGTTCATAGCTCGTTCAGAAAAAGGAAATTCTGGTTGCAACTTTTTGAATCATATACAAAAATCTCAATCTGTCCTTAAAATATGCGCAGCTATCCACAGGATCTTCTACATTGGTGTACCTCTTTTCCAGACAAGCGTCTCTGGTCTGTAATATCCTTCATCTATTTTTATGTCCCAAATCTGAACCTACACCAAAACCCTACAAGAAGCCACTGCACATGAAAATATTCTTAATCTCTGGCCTGCATTAGAAACAATGCATACTCCCAGGATTGAAGAAGTAACCCAGGTGAAACAGACCCAGAATGGGGAATCATTTCCTCAATGCCATAAAGTCACCAGGTCTCCAGACAACAGAGGGCTTATTCGATGCCACCCATCTCTTTTCTCACTAATGTTCATTTTCTTAGATGCTTCTTGATCTTTATTTTCCTATTTATTGAACATGAAAATAATCAAATTGCTGAAAATCCTTGCAATATCTGTTTGAATGTATTAAATAAAAAGTTCTATGTTGCGAAAACTCTAAAGTTCAATCCAAGGACAAATTTTGCCAGTTCTAGGACCAGGAGGCCAAATTCTAGAGAAAATGCTTCTAGGTACCTCTCAATGACTCTTTAGACATGAGAACAATAGCCTGTCTAGAGGAGAAACCACTAAGCTCCTCTTTAGGTCCCGTCCATCTAGAAATCCCTCCTCCCCCTTCCCTTGTGTGGTCTAGCACTTTGTTTTGCCTTAAGTAGGATTAAGGTGTTTTGGATTAAGACCTTGACATAAACACAAACACATCTACATCCAAGCAACAACAAAAAAGGTGACTCTCATGTAGAGTTCAAGGTAAAACTTTAGGCAGAGAAATTGAGACACTGATAAGCCCTTCTGCATTTCTTGATTTAGGAACAGGAAAGGTGAATGGGGGCTCTAAAATTTATTATGCCTATTAGTGAATCTGTATGTACTTGTTCTAGTATAGGACTCTTCCACAAAAGAGAAGTGGCCAAGTTAACAATCTTAAATGCTGAATATGTTCATGTCCTCAAAGAAACCATTTTTCTTCTTGATAGCTAAATGAATTTGTCTTGTAGCTTGTTGTGTGGACCCATAAATTCACTAAAAATATACAGGGTCATTTTCTCTGATTCAAAAATCTTGCTTTGAGAGTGGTTAACAGGAATCTCTGAAATCCTTTCCTCTGTGGGCATTTAAGACCCAGGAGCCACATTCTAGAATACAGCATTGTCCTGGTTCCATAAAACACAAGTCTATAAACAAACAGACATTTGCTGGAGCACCTTAAACCAAGTCCAATAGTCATTCTAGTTTATAAAAAAGTAAATCTGTATTAGTGCCTACAAATATATTGACTATCAACATAATTAGGCCATACAGTGTATATACAGTCTTAGAGGCTGTTGAAAAAGAAAAAGATCATGAAACAAGGCTACAAGAAGGCTGCTGCCTTCTAAGTGAAAAGCAGGCTGAGGAGGTGCCTGGGCATCTGCAGCGTTCTGACAGTTCACAGTTCGGCAGCCAAGTGCGAAAGTGAAGAGAAGTTTTGATGTATAAAGTACTGAGGGAAACATACAGCGGTGTCTGGAAACACCCAGAACATGCTAGAAGGAAGTAGTAGTGAAAAATCTAGAATGAGGACTGGAGAGGGTCAGTGTTAAGCTAAGGTATGAATGCAAACAGCTGTTTCTTCATAATTTAGGGCAAAGAATGGAGAGAGAAGAATCGTAGGAAACAAATCCCATAATGGAGAGAACTGAGGGTGTGATAACAGATACGTGTTAAGGGGCATTAGGGACAGTTGGAAAAAAAAAAAAAAAGACAGGAGTGATGATTATTGAGTACTACTGGGAGGAGGGTCTTGCAAGAATAATAAAAGGAGAAGGGTGTGAAGGGTCAGGAATTGTCGGGGTAAACTATGGGAAAAGACTGTGCAGACGTCAGCAGCAAAGAAAAAGAGGAGCAGGGTTGGGGCGTGGCCCAGAAAGGGAATGGCTCAACAGCCGGCTACAGGGTGAAAAGGAGAAGGGTGGGGAGAAGCTTGGCTGACAGCAGCTTTCAAACGGCGCCTACAGGGTTAAAAATCAGGGGCGGGGAGAAGAGGCAGAACTCGGTTTCTAGGGTAACGGCTCCGACAGTTCCGGCAGCGCAGGCCCGTACCATTGCGCGGCGGGCGTGGCCCAGAAAGGGAATGGCTCAACAGCCGGCTACAGGGTGAAAAGGAGAAGGGTGGGGAGAAGCTTGGCTGACAGCAGCTTTCAAACGGCGCCTACAGGGTTAAAAATCAGGGGCGGGGAGAAGAGGCAGAACTCGGTTTCTAGGGTAACGGCTCCGACAGTTCCGGCAGCGCAGGCCCGTACCATTGCGCGGCGCGCGCGGGGGGAGCGCGAGGGGA